GGGGTCCGTCCTCACCGTTCCTGCTTCAGTCCACTCTGACAGGATTAAACTTGTGCTGCTTCCTTTTATACTGTTCCAGTTTCCCGCTCTTTTTCTGCTTGCAACTTTCAACCAATCCCAGGCCAGCTCCAGCCCCCAGAAACAGCTGTGTCATCAATTATGCCCAGATACCTGTCTAACTGACCAACTGCCACAAGATTCAAAATTCCTCACATTCAAATCCTAGACAAAACAGATTAACTCCTTCATTGCCACCATACATATATACCACAGTGCTTAGTGCCTGTGGCTTCTTGAATGTTAATTTTAACAAATCTGCATTTTCTTTATTTAAATACACTTATTCATCTATGCCCTCCTTTACAAAAACAGATCTCCCTCCCACGTTTCTTACTACGCTTTCATATGAAATAAGAAGCTTTTGGGGAACAAGCATCCTGTAGTTTAGAATTTATCTGATAGCCCTGACTAATTCACAGCTCTGTTCTTCAGCTCGCTGTACACTTGTAAAGGAAAGCTGCCCAGTCTCAGGAAATTTATAAAACAAGACATGATGTCACCATGCAACAGACACTGGCATCTAGTACTAGTTTAGTGGCTTTTCCAAAGAACTCGCAGAATCTCAATTATAGCGCAAGATGCTTTCTAATTACCATGATCAGTGCTTAAACTTTAGCATGAATAATTGGCAGCAATTAACCCAGGTTAATTTCTACCAAACAGATTTTGAATAATGCAACAGCTGCATTTTTATACCTGTTTGTGAGATGTATTAATAGCAAAACAATGAGAAAGGGAAACAGTTTAATGAATGAGACTGAAATATTGCCAGTGTACAAAACACAATTATAACCATGCCTAAGCAATTTGTTTTTGAAAACTATATAAGAATGACTTTTAAAGAACAGTTCATAATATTATTATACCAACTAATGTGACTTGCAACCTAAACAGAATCAGACTGTATGTGAATGAAATGTAAATTTGTAAAAAATGTAATTTAGGATATTGTGTTTATATTACAATACATTGACTTAAAGGAACACTATAGGGTCAAACATGTATTCCTGACCCGATGGTGTTAAAAATACTATCTAGACCCTGCTGGGCTCCCTAATAAAATAAAATCTTACCTTACATCGTGCAGCATTGCCCCAGGAAGCACCTCTAGTAGTCACCAGAGGAGTGGCCACTGAAAAGACAGTGTTTACAGCAAAATGCCCGCAGAGACTGACTATAGTCACCAGAACAACTACAATAAGCTGTAGTTGTTCTGGTGACTATAATGTCCCTTTAATGTAACAACAGTAACACATATTTTTTGACAAAGGTTTTTTTAAGGTTTTTCTTGATATCTATTGTGATATATAAGGATCATCAAAAGTATCAGTTCCGGCCTTATGTTATTTATGAAACTATTAGTCAACCCAAACAAGTCATTAAGTGGTGCAGTATAGTATATTTAGTAACGGAATATTAGAAGCATGTATCAGTGAGCTATCGTGCAATACAGCATATAGGTAGGTAGTCTGATACAAGATGTGGCAGGGGATCAGTAATAGTGTCTGGGAAAGGCTAAAGTTCCAGTTTATTTATGTCCAAATAGACAGGGTGATGCAATGTTCAAGCTGTGTTCAAGGACTGCAATATCATTAAAGGGATACTCCAACTAAAGAAGGACCGGTTGAAGGGAATACTTGGGCGGTATGGAGCTGTGTTGCTATTGGTCATCAGTCATCAACATGTTATGCATGCTGACAACAGATGTCCAATATGGACAGAGTTAACAGCAGCCAACATAGAATTCTTATTCCAGGCAGACTAAGAACGTTGTCAGAGGTGAAATTATACCTCTGGCAGCAAGATGCTATAATTTTGTACGTGCAGTGTTTCTTAGTGAACCACTGCAAAGGCATGAATCAAGCACCATGACCACCATGACCACTTCAAAGTACTTGAAACTGCTACAAAAATGAAATGTTAAATAGGGAGCAAATCAGAAAAGGTTAGATTTAAGAAGATCTAGATCTGATGAGTAGAATTGCTGGATACATTGATAATAACTATTCTGTAACTGTTATCAGTTTATTGAAAAATTTGTTTACTTTTTTCGTGACTGTGGTTGTGCACAACATTCTACCGAAACACCAACTACCTATGTGAAGTTAGGGTTCACCACAATAACTGTAGAGAGAATACAGAGGCTTCTACATTATACAAACTGCATGCACAATTTGGGCAGATTTAGACAGCAAAGTAAATCCTTTGATGTCAGAGTGAGAAAGCACATAATTATTACCACTCGGGGACTCAATGACAGAGAAACATATTGTACCATAATTCATGCAATGAACATTATTTATTTTGGTTCTTATGCAGTAAAGAGTCAAAATAAGAAGAAAGAAAAATAGCAAAATTGAAATGCAAAGTGTTATGCTATTGCTCTCAAAATATTTAAAAAAAAGAATGATTAATCAAATGATCTACAGTATATACTCGAGTATAAGTCTAGTTTTTCAGCACATTTTTTGTGCTTAAAAACCCCCACTCGACTTATACTCGAGTCACTGTCTGTATTATGGCAACTTAGAGAGCCGCGGCCGTCAGAGCCATGGCAACGATCCGCGCGGCAACCAGACCTCGAAACTTACAGTGGAGGTGACCGTAACGGAGGAGAAGGGAGCTGACAGGAGCTGTAGGAAAGGTAAGTAAATGCTTCCTGCCGGCCCCCCCACTTCACAGCCCATGCCACTGGACCACCAGGGATTAAGATAGCCCCCCTCCCTGACCAGTTAACAAGCAGGGAAGGGGGACAAAAAATTAAAATAATAAAAAAATAATAATATTAAAATAAAAAAAATTTAAATAAAAATGCCCTCCCCCCACCCAGTTCACACACACTACACTAACACACACTCTGCATTATATACACAGAGTGTGTGTATATAATGCAGAGTGTGTGTTTGTATGAGTGTGTGTGTGTATATATAATGCAGAGTGTGTTTGTATAAGTGTGTGTGTTTAATGCAGAGTGTGTGTTTGTATGAGTGTGTGTGTATATAATTATAAAAATCACAGAATTTCATAGCCCCAAGTTTTACCCTCGACTTATCCACGAGGCATAGCATATTGTTGGTCACAAAACTGCACTCGACTTATACATGAGATCGACTTATACACGAGTATATACGGTACTCGCTGCAAAATCTCATGGTCACTACTCTATCTTAATTCTCCTTGACCTTTCCACTGCTTTCGAAACTGTTGATCATCAACAGCTTCTTCTCATTCTCCGTAATCTCGGTCTACAAGATATTGCTCTCTCCTAGTGCTCCTCCTACCTCACCCAGCGCTCTCTTAGTGTTTCTTTCTCTGGCTCTGCCTCTTCCTCCAAACCTCTCTCTGTTGGTGTCCCCCAAGGTTCAGTCCTTGGTCCCCTATTGTTCTCAATCTATACTGCCTCCCTTGGTAAACTCAACAGCTCCTTTGGCTTTCAATATCACTTATGTGCCGATGACACGCAAATCTATCTGTCCTCCTCTAATATCTCCCCGGCCCTCTTGACTAGTGCCTTGGACTGCCTCTTTGCTATTTCTAACTGGATGGCTGCCCACTTCCTTAAACTTAACTTGTCCAAAACAGAACTTCTGGTCTTTCTTCCCTCAAGTGTTGCTATTCCCATCTCTGTCTCCTTCCATGTTAATGGTGCTATCATCAGCTCCACCATGCAGGCTCGCTGCCTAGGTGTTCTCTCTGACTCTGACCTCTCATTCCCCCCTCATGTCCAGTCACCATTGCCCCATTGCAGTCTATAATGAATGCAGCAGCGAGGCTTATCTTCCTATCGACCCACACCTCCCATGCCTCACCCCTCTGTCAGTCCTGCATTGGCTTCCCATAAGATATAGGACTCAATATAAAATTCTGGTTCTTGCTTTCAAATCTCTACATGATGCTTCTCCCACCTATCTATCCTCCCTAATACACAAACATGTCCCATCTAGGCCACTAAGCTCTGCCGAAGACCTATGTCTATCCACTGTTCGTACTCCCACCTCAGATGTGCGCCTTCAGGATTTCTCTAGAGCTGCACCGTTCCTGTGGAACTCCCTTCCCTTCTCCGTTAGACGATCACCCAGTCTCTACTCCTTCAAAAAAATCATTAAAACCTCCCTTTTTCACAAAAGCATATCAATTAAACTGTTAATGGCTCCAGAAAAAAACCCACACTAAATCTTCATTGAATACTAGTCTACCAATCTACTTCCCTAATACTTCCCTTACCTTTTGTGTCACTTTACCCCACTCCCTGAAGCATGTAAGCTCATTGAGCAGGGCCCTCAACCCCTCTGTTTCTGTGCATCAAACTTGTCTGGTTACAATTACATGTTTGTTAGTCCACCCATTGTAAAGCGCTATGGAATTTGTTGGCGCCAGGGCCGTCTTTAACGCGGGGCAAACGGGGCAGCTGCCCCGGGCCCAGTTTCTCTTGGGGGGCCCGAGGCACCTGCCCCGTGGGCCCCGCTGACCCCGGCGGGCAGGTGGCCGGTCGGGCAGGAAGGCGGGCGCGCGAGGGAGCACTCAGTGCTTCCTCTTCAGCTCCCTCGCGCACCGCACTGATACCGGAGCCGGAAGATGACGTCATCTTCCGGCTCCGGCATCCCTTACGCGGCGCGCGAGGGAGCTGAAGAGGAAGCAGAGTGCTCCCTCGCGCGCCGCCCTCCTGCCCGACCGGCCACCCGCCCAGGAGCCCAGCAGCACCACTGGACCCCAGGGAATCCCCCCAGCACTCCAAAAGGTAAGGAGGCTGGGGGGATTACATTTAAAAAAAAATAAAAATGTGTGTGTTAGTGTATGTGTGTGTGTGTGTTTGTTTGTGTGTATGTGTGTGTTAGTGTTTGAGTGTTAGTGTATGTATGTGTGTGTTTATGTGTGTAAGTGTGTGTTTATGTGTGTGTTAGTGTGTGTGTTAGTGTGTGTGTTTGTGTGTTGGTGTATGTGTGTGTTAGTGTATGTGTGTGTGTGTGTCAGCATGTCTGTGTGTGTGTCAGTATGTCTGTCTGTCTGTGTGTCAGTATATATCTGTGTGTGTCAGTATTACTGTCAGTGTGTCAGTATGTCTGTTAGTGCATGTGTATGCATGTGTCAGTATATCTGTCTCTGTGCCAGTATGTCTGTGTGTGTGTGTGTGTGTCAGTATATCAGTCTGTGTGTGTCAGTGTATGTGCCTGTGTGTGTGTGTCAGTATTTCTCAGTGTATGTGGGTGTCAGTATATCTGTCAGTGTGTGGGTGTCAGTATTTCTGTCAGTGTATGTGTCAGTATGTTGATCAGTGTATGTGTCTGTGTGTGTGTGTCAGTATGTCGGTATGTCTGTATATGTGCCTGTGTCAGTATGTCTGTCAGTACGTCTACCAGTGTATGTGTCTGTGTGTGTGTCAATATATGTACCTGTGTCAGTGTGTCTGTCAGTGTATGTGCCTGTTTATCTGTATGTAGTCAGTGTATGTATCTGTGTATCTGCTTGTGCGTCAGAGTGTGTACCTGTGCATCTGAGCCGCAACTTTAAATACAAATACACCCCTCCATTCAAACTTCAACACTACATATAAAACACACTCCTGCATTGAAACGTCAACACTACATACAAGCACACTCCTACATTCAAAAACAAACACTACACATAAATGCACACTTGCATTCAAACTCCAGTACCACAAACACATTCACACAAACATACTCCATACAAACACATGCTTACATTCAAACATACTAACATGGCTCAGTGCTAAATACAACCCTGCAAGCATGGGAAATTGGTAGAGTCCCAGCTGTCAAAGCATTGTTGGAGTTGCACGACAGATGGGGTTCTACCTTTAGTCCAACCTTGCAATTGGGGGTCCCAATAAAATTCATTCTACTTTAGTACCGCCACTGCGTTGGGATGGATGCCGTGATTGCATACCAGGGAGTGAGGGGCGAGAGCGGCAGGGCACAGGGGGCCCAAGCAAACACTTGCCCAGGGTCCATTCGTTACTAAAGACGGCCCTGGTTGGCGCTATATCAAAATAATAATAATTGTGGAGCTATAAGTATAGAAACTGTAAATTATTACAGATGAGCTCTATTCAACAAGAGCAATCTTTAGTGACGTGCTAAACGTGGTGCAATCACCATAGCAACAAATAGAACAGGTCTGTAATTGGTCCAAATATTTGCTCCATAGTTTTCTTTGATAAATACATGCATACATCTCCTAATAGTTTCACACCAATGGAGAATTATGCAAGTTTTCTGAATCAAGGAGCTGTAAAAAAGTTTGAGTTTCTTTGATATAAAATCTTGATTACAATGTAATATTACGATGTGACTAAGTTGGCATGGACATATATTATAGATGATTTCATTATTTGAAAAAAGTACTTAAACTCAACAGATCATTCAATAATTAAAAATTATGATCATATAGTACATTACGCACTGCCTTCAAATAATCACACTCTGTAGTTTTTTAATTATTCTTCTCATATGGCAAGTATGATTAAGTATATAGTTGTCTACAGAAAAATTTATGTGCAGATAATTGTATAAAGGGCTTCAAAGTATTTGGTAATAACTCAGACCAGCTGTTGCACTAAACCTGTGATGTGTTAACATATATCTAAGCCCCTGTTTAATGTATAGCTCTGGTACAAGTCCTCTCTAGTTCAACCTTTAACGGTATTCCAAATGTGGTCTTTCAGGTTAAACCAACAAATGTCTAGCCTGGCAAAATAAAATCAAGAAACCAATCAAGAGCTACCCTCTGTATATTGAAATCATTCTTCAGAATTAAATGTTCCATTCCTCATAAAAACAGGCCAAGGGAGAAAACCCGACCCTCTAATTTTTTTGGAATTGTTTAATTATTTGCTTGATTAGCTCACTGAACCGATCCCGTTATGTGACTGTCAAAACCACCTCCAAAAAGAGAATAAAAAAGTTAAAAAGCAAAGATGCCAAAACTGCACCTTCTCCAAAGAAACTGTTGAATGGAATTGTATAATTCTCAGTGTGGAGGACCTAGGAAACCCTCATTTGGGCACGTCTGTTAAAATGTTATGGAAGGGTATTAAACTGAAAATACTTAAAATAATTTGGTACAATGTACAATATTACATATAGCAAAAAGTAGTAGAAGCAGTTACACTTCCATGACTTTTTGAGTATTTTTCTAATGCAAACACAAACTTGTGGTGGCAGTATTACAAAATGTAATTGTCAAATTAAGACTGGACCATACCAGTATCTTATAGCAGAGATATTCTAAAAAGGCAGCAACTACTGACAAAAAAAGTGTTGTTTTGTAATTAATGTAGAATTGTATGTTGCATGGATTCTTGACAAATGTGTGTGGACAGTAGCACATTTAGCATTCCATCTAAAATATAATTTATCACAGTACAAATGATCTCCTTCGATATAACATATCATCCAAAGAATGTCACCATTCTATTCTATTTACTCTTAAATGTACACTGTAGGCACACCGACCACTTCAGCTCATTGAAGTGGTCTGGGTGATTTGTCCCTTTTGCACTTAGTGCTGCAATGTAAAACATTGCAATTCCAGAGAACTGCACTGTTTAAATGGCGGCTCTAAGTCTGCCCTCAGTGACTGTCTATTCTATGTTTCTATCATACAGCCACTGTCTGCATGCGCATTATGTCTCCCCCGCCGGCAAACGTCAACGGAGGAGGAGCTTGGGCGTAGCCTGACCCAGTGCCAAGGGACGTCGGCTCTGCATTCAGGTAAGTGGCTGAAGGGGTTTTAACCCCTTCAGCTGTGCAGGGGGGGGCGGAGGGGGTATGAGGGAGGGGGGACCTATTAAACCTAAAGTACCAGGAAAAGAGCTTTGTTTTCCTGGCACTATAGTATCCCTTTAACCAATGAGGTAAGCCCTGCTCAGTTCTTTCAGATCCGTGCTATAAAGGATATATATAATGTTAGAAGAGAAATATTTCTCAGTAAATGTAATACTATTATTTACTTAGTACCATTGGGAATGGGAAACACGAATCTCTTGTACTAGTCATATTGGAGAGTATACTTGTGGCAGTCAGACTATGCTTTATCCAATCACCACCCATATTATGTTAATATAAAAAACCAGAGGATTAGGTATTGCAAAGTACTGTAGACATAATTACTTTTTCCACTTTTAGGGACTCCCTCTATGGAAGTTCTGACAAGTATAAAAATAGCATTTTCTTTTCCCATACTATGTTTCTAAACTGATCAGCTATAAGGTTTGTGGATGATAAAATAATTGTCTCATGCTGAGGCATTAAAGTGCTACACTAGTCTTTGCTTCTAATTAGAGATATAGTTTTTGTTAATGAACAACTTTTTTTTATGGTACAATACAACTGAGAAATAATTTGCTACTTCCACCCTCTGTACACTCCCCCCCCCCCCCCCCCCAAATAATAAGATTATTTGTACGCTTATTTTTTTTTTTTTAAATTGAATAGAAAATAAATTTAACTAATATCAGCACATACACATCTCTGCATATTTTTACAGTTATGTATGTTAAATGTATGCATACTTTCATACTTATCTTCTAATTCACCCGTGCAAATTAAAACATAACCAGTTAAATGCTTGGCATAGCTGCTGTCAAACAATTGTCATGCGTGCCAGAACAGTCTGCTATTATTACCAGGGATGGCTGCCAATATTTCATTTAATGAGACCAAATTTATTTCTTTCACTTTAGAATTTAAAACAGTTAACATGTGTTTAACCTGATACTTTATGAATGCTAGTGAACATATTTTTATTTTGTTCTCTCTTTTACAAGTTTTCTAGGGGTAAGTGTATCTTTTTCTTTTTTAAATTCTTCATTTCATTTGTGCATAGGTTAAACAAACAGCTGGTGCAGCTGGTGCAAACCGATCTTGAGACATAATACAACAATAGTGTGGCATCGACAACACTGCACATTTTTTAAAGGAAATAAATTGGGGTAAACCAAAAGCCTACATGGCACATCAATGAACTGTATATGCTGGGATACGTGATGGGTAGCTTGTAGGCATGAGGATTGCTGGTGATAAGAGTCACTGGGTCACAATATATAACATCCTAATTTATCTGACCAAGTTAAAGGACCACTGTTGGCACCCAGACCACTTCAGCTTAATGAAGTGGTCTGGGTGCCAGGTCCAGCTAGGGTTAACCCATTTTTTTTATAAACATAGCAGTTTCAGAGAAACTCAATGCCACATGTTATCTGTCCACGATGTGGCATGTACACTTGGGCATCATTATCCCATAATGTTGTGCCTGAATTTAACAATTCTATGATGCTTGTAAACCCACAGCTCACTTTACAAGGAGTCTTCAAAACAGCAGCATGCACTTGGCATGAGTATAAATCACTCCTATTAAAAAATGTTGTTGAAATTGTTTTAAAGATTAGTTTAATAGCTTATTCCTGCTTACAGGGAAAATTGACTAAAGTTTCCCTTAGTAAAGCTACCTTAAGCAGCATTAGAAATATAGTGTAAACATAGAGCTCTACCTGCAGAGGTACTCTAAGCACCATAGCCACTTTCTTGGACCTGTTTCAAATGAATTGGAACTTACCTGTGTTCCCTGGTTACCATTGATCTGGATCTGGCGTCTGCCCCCTCTTCAGATGTGACTAAATATTATGAATGACAGTTGATGCTCTCAGTCAATCAATTCTGTCCAAATAGGAGCAAAATTGATATATCTGATGTGAAAGGGGAACTTTAATTTTAGCTATATTCAAAGGCTTATGAGCCTTGAAGAATCCACGCTAGTGTCAAACTATTCAAAAACTGATTACTTACCAAGGGATTAAGCTAGGGGACTTTTGGCAACATAAAAACTACAGTGAGCTGTTGTGGTTATGGTACTTAAACTGCCTAAAATAGGTTCCCCAAAGGGATTACTAAGATACTGACAGTACCAACCTCAGTGTGGTCCAAGATAAATTAAAAAAAGCATATTGTCAACTTTTCAGTGCATTTAAAAATAATTTGTGTTTCAATAAAATAAGCTGTTTAAAAGTTTATTGGCTCTTAAAACCCCATTAACACAATGTTACAATCGTTTCTGCTAATTTATGCATCATTTCACTGCTCGTTAACTACCAAGCTGTATAATTTTGCCAGCGTTGTTAGTGAGGTCAGTATCCTCTTTGCTAAACAGTTGAATATTTATGTGAGTGAAACCACACTGAACTCTC